CTCAGGAGCAAAGAGGAGAGGAGCGCGGGAAGTCACATCATTAGCACCAGATGCGTGTACATCCTCCTAGTTCTTCTGCCAACCTACATAGGTATTGGCGGGGGTGGACTGACCATTTGGAAACTCGGGCAGTGCCCGAGGGCCTCGGGGTCAGTAGGGGCCCCATGAGATGTCCCCGGTACCTTTTTCATAGGCTTTTTTTCAGTTTGGGCAAGGACACAGGGGCCCCATGATCCCCTATTGCCCGGGGGCCCCATGAGTTGTCAGTCCACCCCTGGGTATTGGATTATCCTTGATCCATGTCCAGTCCAAGACAACTGTCAGTCCTGCACTCCAGGGAAGAGAGATTTTTATGAGTAGGGATAAACAAAACTGAAAATTTCTGGTTCTAAAATTTTTGCCATTTTGCTGTTTTTGACCATTTAGGTTTCTAAAAAAAAAGCCTAAAATTCCATCCTTTATGTGTTAACCCTTTTACTTTACATGACCAGCAAACACATCTTCTAATTATTATTTTTTTTTAAAAAAAGTCCTTTTTTCCCATCTCAGAAAGTCGGAGGTACGTGGGGGTCATCTCTGGGCATGAGAGCAGGACAGAGTCTCCGGTAGAATCTTTGCCATTTTGGGGCAAAGTTGAGAATTTCTGGTGACAAACTTTTGGTGAAATTTGGAAGATTTCATTAAAATTTTTTGAGTTTTGGGGCAAAGTTGAGAAAAATATATTTGTTATGTTTCCCTTGTTTGTGCAACATAGGTAATAACCACTTGAAGACGGCCCTGCTACACTGCTACTGCTACAGGGCAGCTCTCCTGTGCAAAATCACACACACAGACACACACACATACTGTATATATATATATATATATATATATATATATATATATATATATATATAGATAAATTAGAAAAAATATATATATAAATTAACAAAAAAAAAAAAATATATAATATATATATATATATATATATATATATATAATATTAACAACAAATAAAAATAAATAATATAAATATATATATATATATATACAGTATATATATATATAAATTAAAAAATATATATATAAATTTAAATATATATATATAAATATATATATATAAATATATGTATATACACATATAAATATACACATATAAATATATATATATATATAAAAAAAAATAATATATATATATTATATTATTATATATATATACGTGATTTTGCACAGGAGGGCCGCCCTGTAGCAGTAAAACTGCTACAGGCAGGTCTTCAAGTGATTATTACCTACGTTGTACAAACAAGGGAAACATAACAAATGCGAACAACAATAATTTTTTTCCAAGCAGCTCAATGAGCTAAATTAAGATTTATGTCATATCCATTTTTTTTTTTGCTGTTTTTGACAATTTAGGTATCTAAAAAAAAAAAGCCTAAAATTCCATCCTTTACATGTTAAACCCTTTTACTTTACATGACCAGCAAACACATCTTCTAATTATTTATTTTTTTTAAAAAAAGCCCTTTTTTCCCCATCTCAGAAAGTCGGAGGTATGTGGGGGTCATCTCTGGGCATGAGAGCAGGACAGAGTCTCCGGTAGAATCTTTGTCGTTTTGCGGAGCTAAGAGCGTCATTTTTGGTAGATTGTGTTGTTGTGTATTGCGCCTGGTTGGTTGTTACACCGCGATGAACACTTTAATAACAAATCTTGTTATTTTTTAAATCCGGTAAGTGGATCCAAGATTGATGTTAGCGGTCCATTACCGGCCTCACAGAGGTGTCACATTAGAGGCTGATGGCTGGTTGGGCAAAAAAGGAGAGCGGCGTAACGTGCTTTCAAGAGCTCCTTGTACAATATAAAAACACCGCTCACCAGAAGTGCGCAACAGATAGATGTCTGTCATAAGTGGCTTCAATATCGCAAATAACCCGAAGAAGAAGAAGAAAAAAATAAAAGCCCGAGTCACCTCAGAGAGAGACCGTAATGGAAGAGACACTCAGGAGTAATGGATAGAAAGAATTACAAGATAAAGCATGTGGAAAATCACATTATTAGCTCCAGATACATGAACATTCTCCTACAGGTCTTTTGTCGACCTGGATAGATATTAGATCATCGATGCTCCACACCGAATCTGAAACCACCTGCAATCTCTGCACCCCGAGGAACAGAGATCGTTGTGACTAGGGATAAACAAAATCAGGAACTTCTGGAACAAAACACTTTCTAAATTTGGCAGATTTTAGCAAACCTTTCACCTTTTCGGTTCAATACAATGGAGTGAATGGGAAAGGCAAGAATATCACAAATGGCCCTGAGGAGATCAAATAAATGGTCCAACCACCCCAAAGATGGAAGAGATACTCAGTAGTGATGGAAAGGAGGCACTACAAGACAGAGTATGAGGAAAAATCACATTGTCAGCACCAGATACATGTACATTCTCCTACAGGACATCTTCCAACCTATATAGGTATTGGATCTTCACTGTTCAACACCACAGTACAGGACAACCTGCAATCTCTGCAGCCCGAGGAAAACCGATTGTTGTGACTAGGGACAAACAAAATCAAGAACTTCGTGTTACCAAAATTTTATAAAATTTTGGGAGATTTCATCAAAATGTTCGCCCCTGTGGTGCAATAAAGTTGGGTAAATGAAGAAGGCAAGAATTTTGCAGATAGCTCTAAGGAGATAGAATAAAAAGCCCAAACTTCTTGAGAGCGACCATAATGGAAGATAAACTCGGGAGTAATGGAAAGGAGGCACTACGAGACAGAGCATGAGGAAAAATCACATTGTCAGCACCAGATACGTGTACATTCTCCTACAGGGATTTTCCCAACCTATATACTGTAGGTATTGGATATTCACTGTTCAACACCACAGTACAGGACAACCTGCAATCTCTGCAGCCCGAGGAAAACAGATTGTTGTGACTAGGGACAAGCAAAATCAAGAATTTCGTGTTACCAAAATGTTATCAAAGTTTGGGAGATTTCATCAAAATGTTCGCCATTTTAAATGGGAAAGCCAGGACTATCCTAATTAACCATGAGGAGAGAGAGTAAAAAACAACGTCTAATGCAGGCCATAGACAGGTCGAAAATCGGCCGATTTTTCTTTTAAAAAACGAAAAAAATCGGTCATTCAAGCGGCCGACGTTACCAGAAACGGTAAAAAAAATCGGCCGATTTTCATCCCGTCTACAGCCAGCAAAAAGTGTCCCTGCAGAGAGCTCCGCTATTTCTTTGACAGTTCCTTGACATTTATAGCGGTTGCAACAATGTATTTGTATCCATTTAGGATACAGATGTTTTTATTCAGAAACAAATAGATACATTGTTGCAACCGCTATAAATGTCAAGGAACTGTCAAAGAAATAGCGGAGCTCTCTGCAGGGACACTTTTTGCCGGACTGGAATTCCTCTTCTTCATCCTCTTCTTCTTCTTTTTCTTCATCCTCTTCTTCTTCATCCTCTTCTTCATCTTCTTCATCCTCTTCTTCCTCTTCTTCATCTTCCTTTTCTTCTTCATCTTCCTCTTCTTCATCCTCTTCTTCATCTTTTTCATCCTCTTCTTCCTCTTCTTCATCTTCCTCTTATTCATCCTCTTCTTCTTCTTCTTCTACTTCATCCTCTTCTTCTTCATCATCCTCTTCTTCTTCTTCATCCTCTTCTTCTGCTTCTTCATCCTCCTTCTTCTTCTTCTTCCTCTTCTTCTTCTTCCTCTTCTTCTTCTTCTTCATCCTCTTCTTCCTATTCTTCTTCCTCCTCTTTTGCTTCTTCCTCTTCTTCATCCTCTTCTTCTTCTTCCTCTTCTTCCTCTTCTTCATCCTCTTCTTCTTCCTCTTCTTCTTCTTGTTCTTCATCCTCTTCTTCTTTTTTCTTCTTCTTTTTGTCTTCCTCTTGCAGGTCACTGCTCATGCGCAGATTTTTTTATCAGTAAAAAGATCGGCCGATTTGCCCATCATTGCCGCGAAAATCGGCCGTTCGGCAAAATCGGCCGATTTTTTTGCAACTTTACCGATAAAAAAAATCTGCCAAAATACCGAAAAACGGCCGAAGAATTAGCCCACTAACAATCCGAAAATCGGCCGATTTTATTTTTCGGCCGAAAAATTGGCCGATTTTCGACCCATCTATGGCCTGCATAAGAGGCCGCAATTGAAGGGACACTCAGGGGTAATGGAAAGGAGAGACTACCAGAAAGAGTATCAGGAAAATCCCACTAATAGCACAAGATAAAGAAAATGATCCTACAATTCTTCTGCCAACCTATATAGGTATTAGATCGCCATTGTTCAACATTCAAGCCAAGACAACCTGCAATCTCTGCACCCCGAAGAACAGAGATCGTTGTGACTAGGGATAAACAAAATCAGGAATTTCTGGAACAAAACACTTTCTAAATTTGGCAGATTTTAGCAAACTTTACACCTTTTCAGTTCAATACAATGGAGTAAATGGGAAAGGCAAGAATATCACAAATGGCCCTGAGGAGATCAAATAAAAGGTCCAACCACCCCAAAGATGGAAGAGACACTCAGTAGTGATGGAAAGAAGGCACTACAAGACAGAGCATGAGGAAAAATCACATTGTCAGCACCAGATACGTGTACATTCTGTTAGGTCTTCTTCCAACCTATATAGGTTTTGGATCTTCACTGTTCAACACCACAGTACAGGACAACCTGCAATCTCTGCACCCCGAGGAAAACCGATTGTTGTGACCAGAGACAAACAAAATCAAGAGTTTCATGTTACCAAAATTTTATCAAAGTTTGGGAGATTTCATCAAAGTGTAATGGAGTAATGGAAAGGAGAGACTACAAGAAAGAGTGTCAGGAAAATCACACTAATAGCACAAGATAAAGAAAATGATCCTACAATTCTTCTGCCAACCTTTATAGGTATTGGATCATCATTTTCAAACAACCAAGCCAAGACAACCTGCAATCTGTGCGCCCCGAGGAAAAGAGATTATTGTGACCATGGATAAACAAAACTGAGAATTTTTGGTACCAAAAATTTTGTCAAAATTGTAACCATTTTGATGCAATACAGTGGAGTAAATAGGGAAGTATCACAAATAGCCCCAAGGAGAGAGAATTAAAAGCCCAAACTTCTCCAGAGGGACTATAATGGAAGAGACATTCGGGAGTAATGGAAAGGAGGCGCTACAAGATGGAGGACACAGCAGAACACCGATCGCTGTACGGGACCTTTGTGTGAGCTCCTGATCATGTGATCACTGATTGACCAATCAGTGATCACATGAATAGTAGTAAGCAAGATGTCACTTCTGACATCATTGCTTACTACTTGTGAAATCTGTGAATGATCACAGAGGTCACATGGTACAGGGCTATTCACAACAGCCTTGAACCATGTGACAAGCTGTGACCAATCACAGCTCTCACAGTATTTCTCAATGGCTGCAAGAATGCAGCCAGAGAGAAGGAGAAATTATTGCTTTTACAGCCTTTATGGGTGTAAAAGCAATTAGTGTAAAAAAAAAATCTTTATCACCCCCCACAAGTAGTACAGTGTCACCATGGTGACACTCTACTGCTAGGGTGACAGTATGTTAAAAAAAAACATAAATAATAATATAAAAAAAAAATAAAAATGTAAAAAAAAACAATTTTAAATTTAGAATTTTTGGTTATAAACTAATTTGGGTTATTTTTTTTTACTAAAAAGATAATTGAATACATTTTGGCCAAGATTTATGAAGAAAGATTATTTATTTTCAAAATTGTGAAAGTAAAACATTTTTTTCAAAATTTTTGGACTTTTTCATTTATATAGCAAAAAAAAATCCCAGCGGTGAATAAATACCACCAAAATAAAGTTTTATCTGTCTCAAAAAAATGCTAAAAAATTCATATGAGTACAGTATTGCATGACCGCGCAATTGTCAATCAAAGTGTGACAGCGCTGAAAGCTGAAAATTGGCCTGGACTGGAAGGGGGTGAAAGTGTCCGGACTGGAAGGGGGTGAAAGTGTCCGGACTGGAAGGGGGTGAAAGTGTCCGGACTGGAAGGAGGGGAAAGTGTCCGGACTGGAAGGGGGTGAAAGTGTCCGGACTGGAAGGGGGTGAAAGTGTCCGGACTGGAAGGGGGTGAAAGTGTCCGGTGGAAGGGGGGTGAAAGTGTCCGGACTGGAAGGGGGTGAAAGTGTCCGGACTGGAAGGGGGGAAAGTGTCCGGACTGGAAGGGGGTGAAAGTGTCCGGACTGGAAGGGGGGTGAAAGTGTCCGGACTGGAAGGGGGTGAAAGTGTCCGGACTGGAAGGGGGGGGTGAAAGTGTCCGGACTGGAAGGGGGGAAAGTGTCCGGACTGGAAGGGGGGGGGGGAGTGTCCGGACTGGAAGGGGGTGAAAGTGTCCGGACTGGAAGAGGGGGGAAGTGTCCGGACTGGAAGGGGGGGGAAGTGTCCGGACTGGACGGGGGTGAAAGTGTCTGGACTGGAAGGGGTGAAAGTGTCCGGACTGGAAGGGGGGGAAAGTGTCTGGACTGGAAGGGGGGGGAAGTGTCCGGACTGGAAGGGGGTGAAAGTGTCCGGACTGGAAGGGGGGGGTGAAAGTGTCCGGACTGGAAGGGGGTGAAAGTGTCCGGACAGGAAGGGGGTGAAAGTGTCCGGACTGGAAGGGGGGGGAAGTGTCCGGACTGGAAGGGGGGGGGGAAGTGTCCGGACTGGAAGGGGGTGAAAGTGTCCGGACTGGAAGGGGGTGAAAGTGTCCGGACTGGAAGGGGTGAAAGTGTCCAGACTGGAAGGGGGGGAAAGTGTCCGGACTGGAAGGGGGGGGGGGGGGGGGGAAGTGTCCGGACTGGAAGGGGGGGGAAGTGTCCGGACTGGAAGGGGGTGAAAGTGTCCGGACTGGAAGGGGGTGAAAGTGTCCGGACTGGAAGGGGGGGAAAGTGTCCGGACTGGAAGGGGGTGAAAGTGTCCGGACTGGAAGGGGGTGAAAGTGTCCGGACTTTAAGTGTTAACACCGCAATCTGAGACGACCTGCAGCCTCTCTGCAACCCATGGAAGAGGGATATGTTGTGACTGGTATCAACATTTTACCAAAATTTGGGAGATGTCATCAACATTTTTGACATTTTGGAGCAATAGAGTGGGGTAAAAAGGGGGAGGATAAGAACATTGCAAATAAAAGGCCCCAACCACTACAGAGAGATCATAATGGAAGATAATATGGAAGAGGGACTAAAGGACAGAGCGTCATGAAAATCACATTATTACCACCAGATACACGTACTTCCTCCGATAGATCTTCTGCCAACCTCTGTAGGTAATAGATTCATTACCATCAGTCCCCACCCCCGAGGGCGTACAATCTAAGATCCCTAACTCACATTCATACACATACTAGGGCCAATTTAGACAGGAAACAATAAAACTTACCAGCATGTCTTTGGCGTATGGGAGGAAACTGGAGTACCCGGAGGAAACCCACACAGGCACAGGGAGGACATGCAAACTCCAGGCAGGTGGTGCTGTGGTTGGAA